CTCTAGGAAGGGCTGGGTGGTTGCACAGGGTCAGGGGAGTGGGCGGACCCCCACGCAAAGGCTGGCTGGGATGCGGGGGGTTCTGCCACAGGCGTCAGGCAGGAGGGCAACCCAGGCAGGTCCCACAGCGCCCGCAGCCTGGGGACAGCTTGGACATCACTGGCTGCCCTGGGTGCCCTGAGGGGCTTCGTGGTGAGGACGACACAGATGGGCAGGAGTGGACACAGGGGTCAGCAGCTGTGCTGGCTGCCCAGGGCCCGCAGGCTGGGAGGTGAGAGAGTGGATGGGCTCGGGTTCTTCCTGCAGCCGTGTGAGCAATATGCTGGCCTGCTAGATAATGGATACCCTAACCCCGACCCGAAAAGCCCCGGTGTGCGGCAGCTGTGGACCCTGCAGTGCAGACTCCCAGCACACAGGACTGCAAGCTGGAAACTCATATGCAGACTTGGGGAGAGCAGAGGGCCCTGTGCAGCGGTCCTTGACTTGCTGGTCTCCTTCTAGCCCACGAGGATGGAGTCTTGCTCCTGGCTGGAGACTGAACTCTTTCTTCTTCAAGGGACCAGAGACTTTTGCTTTGGGTTGTGATTCGGGAGCCCTCCAGGTCTCTGGTCACACCCACGGGGGTCTTCCAAAGAAGCAGAGACAGGTGCCGCTGGCTCAGGGCCGGGGGACAGGGTGGCCCGAGGAAGGAAGAGGGGCACTGAATGGCCAGGGTCAGTGAGCAGGCCAGGCTATGACAGAGCAAAGGTGATGGCCATCACATCCTCACCAAAACCAGGGTGGTGCGGGCAGCACTGCCTGTGGTGAGTCCTCACATGGGCCCTGGAGGACGGCACTGGCAGCAGCAGTCACAGGTGGGACAGCAGTGCCCGGCTTCACCCGGTTCCTCCCCCAAACACACTAGAAACTTCTCCCCTGGTGTCACCCTTGGGTTGTGATCTCCGTCTTTGTCATCACCACCACCACCACGCGACCATGTGCACTGCCAACTCCACCATCACCATTGTCATCTTTGTCACCACAGTTGCCTCCTTCTCACTGGCATCTATGAGGGTGGACAGGGGGTCACTGCTGAGCTGTATTTGCGGGTTTTCTGCAGTGACCAACTATGACTGGTCTGTTTAACAGCAGCAGTTCGAGGTAGGGCCTGGGCTGTCTGCATGGCGACCCCTGCTTCACACAGGGCCATGCCTGGCAGGACCCGACAGGCCTGGCCTCTGGGGCTGACTTCCCTCCCACCTTGGACCTTGGCTGCTGCCACCTCTCACAGGGCTGGGATGCTGCCAGTTGGCACAGGCAGGTCTGGGCAGGCCTGGAGCTGGGCCCGCTGGACGCCATGGAGATGGGCGTATGAACTGCTGCATCCGTGGTGCCCACGCCGTCCTCGTCCATGGACAATGTCTACATTCAGGGCCATGATGCTCGATGGGGGGACTGTGGCATGGGAGACAAACTCCCCCAGGCTGGGCTGGCTCTGCCCACCCAGAGCCAACTCTGTGGCCTCACAAGCCTGGGCAAGGATGGGCTGCTGCCATCGTGGATCCTGGGCCCAACTCTAGGCCACTCTGCTTTCCACAGATCTCGCTGGGCGGGTCCTGCCTCCCAGCTGCCTCCGGTCAAATCTGCTCTGTGCCCTCCTTAGCCTGGTCTCTAGGCCTTGGTCTAGATGATTACTGCACATGGTGGGGGCTGGAGGCTGGCTGAGGAAGGGACTCTCTCACAGCTGTCCCAGAGCCAACACCTTCATGGGCCTCAGCCGGGGATGCTACGTGACCTCAGAGTAGAATGCACACGTGGGGCTTCTTGCTCAACCTTACAAGGGTTCCAAGACGGTGACAGCAGAGCGTCAACCCAGAGTATTCTGTTCCGAGGACCCATTCACAGGCTGCAGGACTGGGGCTTTGCCGCCCAGTCACCCGTCCGTCCATCCATTCTTTCGTTGGCTTTCTGAGACAGGGTCTCCCTGTGTAGTCCAGACTGGCCTGGAATGCCCTATGGAGTGTAGACTGGTGACGAACTTGTTTCGATCCTTCTGCCTCAGCCTCCTGAGTGCTGGGATTACAAGTTGTGCCACTACGCCTGGCTGACCATTTACATGACGTGAAATGCCCCGTGGTAAAACAACTTCCTGGGGGTCTGGCCTGACTTCCTCCTCCTATTCATTCACCCACCAATACCACGAGCAGGTGCCCGGCTCCCGCAATGAGCCAGGTTGGCTGGGGCCCTGCGACAGTTTAAGTCGGTCTCACCCCTGTGCTGGCCTTGGCCGAGCACCCCAAGGCCACCGTTCCCGTGGCCCCTGCTCGTCCGGTGCTGGGGCTGCCACGACTCTCTCCCCAGTGACGCCCTCCCACCCCGAAGAGCGGGCATGAAGCCCTGTCTTGCACCCTCCTCCGCACCCCTCTGTATGTCCTCGAGCCCAGGACCCTCTCATCTCCTGTCTGCTTCATCATTACTGTTAAACAGCAAGGCCTAGCCTGACTCACAGAAAGTGCTGCACCCTCACGCACAGCCCTGTGACACCCCAGGGCCTCCTCCAGCCCCTCAGAGACTGATCGGCCCTGCATCCTCCTCTGAGCTCTGCACCGGGCTCCCGCCTCAGCACTGCGTGCTCTCCGTTTCTGCCCAGGCAGTCTAGGAGTCTTCGTGCAGCTTTCGGGAGGGTCCCTGCACCTCTGGGTTCCCGCAGCAGCCTCCAGGCTGGCTCAGTGCCCCGCTGCCGCCACGCCTTCTTCCCCTGCACCAGGCGGGCAGCTGCCCCTCCTGCACCCTGCTCTGAGGCCGTCCCACTTACCTATCCTGCCCGCACTGCCTGGCACTTTCCCTGACGTCGGTGCAGTTACCGCAGGCCCCCAGGCTCCGAGCACACGTCATTTCTGTCCTGCACAGAGTGTCCTCTCTGCCTGAGCACAGCTCCTCCTCGTGCTCCTGGGTGGCCTCCGCGTGGGCTGGGGTGACTCTAAAGGCCCCTGTGGTCAGGGCAGCAGCGCACTCTTCCTCCCCAGCTTTGTCCCAGGGCCATCTGCATGCCGGGCACCCGGGAAGCCTCGGGGTCAGCACAGTCAAAGCAGGCGGGCCCACACTGAGGTTTAGGCGCCACGCCGTGAGTGAGGTGCACACACCGTATGCGTGGAGCCTCAGGTTTCACAGACATGCACACCCGTGTGACCACCGTGCAGTTGCTGTGGGACACATCCAGGCCCCTGGAAGGTGTCCCTTGGCCCTGTTTTTTTGTTTTGTTTGGTTTTTTTGAGACAGGGTCTCACTATGTAGTTGAGACTGCCCTGGAACTCACTATGTAGCCCAGGCTGGTCGCGAACTCACAGCGATCCTCCTGCCTCAGCCTCCCCAGTGCTGTGATTACAGGCTTGTGCCACCACGCCCGGCTCCTGAGTGGTTATTAAACTTCTTTTCTGCCTTTTGAGCCCTGGATCATTTGCCTCTCCCTTACGTTGACAGAAGTGGCCTCCGACAGGACATTGTCTTTGGAGTCGGGCTCCTTCTCGTGACATTAATCTTCTTCTCTGGCTCCCCAGCCTGGATGCCCCCTGCCCTGGCCTCCACCACTTCCCTAGTCTGTACTGGCTGTTTCCCTCCGGACTTCTCTTCCGGTTCCATTTCCTTCCTCCGCCCCCGTGGGGGCTTTGTTTGTAAAGTCCTGGTTTCTGAGCACACGGGGCCCTCTCTTCCTGTTCTCATCAAGGTGGCCTTGACGTTCAGGACGTGCGACATCCTTGTAAGACACGAGCCATGGGGTGGCCCAGCTGTTCTCAGAGGACCCCAGGCAGTGTGACCAGTGCTTCTGCCTCCCTGGCATTGCTGTGTCGCCTCTGCAACACCCTGGCCTTCCACTGGTCCACCCGTGTCCCCTTGAGCCACAGGGAGGAGGCTGCCTAGCCACTCCTTTCCCACGCTTGCTGCTGCGACACACGGACCACAGTTTAGCACACTCCTGGCTGTGATTTCTACATGGGGCAGCCCACAGATTTCAGAAACCCTGGGATGGGGCCACAACCTGTGTCCCACAACTCCTAGGGGCCGTGACGTGCGTGTGGTCTGGTGGAATGAGCAGGCCTGTGTTCTCACTCTAGGATGAAGGGCACGGGATGAGGAGACAGGTTTCACGGCTTCCCTGAGGATGAGCTAGTCCCCAGGGGGCGTGAGGTCAGTGCTGACATCTGGGGACCCGAGCCCAGCCCACCCCAGCGAAGGTGCACAGCCTGAGGTGTCCTATTCTCTCCTCTGCAGCCAGTGGAGCCCGGTGGTGTGCTGGCTCCCAAGGGAGTCCAATCTGTGGGAGAGGAGGTGGGGCTGGAGGTCCAAGGGCAGGAGGACAGTGCACCTGGGGCAGCGAGGTACTGGGTCCCTGGGTCTGTCCCCTGCTCCTGGAAGGATGAGGAGGTGGGGCTGCCCTTCTGTCTGTGTGCACACCACACCCGCCCAGGCAAGAAGGAGGGAGTCCAGGGAGCTGGTTCTCAGGGCTGGCAGCAGCAGCCTGGTGTCCCTGGCTCAGGGTGTGTCTGAGGTGTCTGTGAGTGAAAGGCTGCTGGATGGGACCCAGCGTCACTGTCCACCCTTCCGGGGCTGGGTCAGCTGTACAGGACGCTCATGGCATCTCGGCCATCTGTACCTGCTGCCCTCCCTCTGCCCCAGCTCATCTGGTGACGAGGCAGAGGGGATGGCTTCACAGTAGTGTTTTCCAAATCCGCTGCCTGCACACCATTCCTCTCAGGCATCTTGCAGGGTTGGCCTTCCCTGGAACACGCTTTGGGAATGGTAGGTTACACATTTATATAAATATTGACTGTCTGGGGATTTAGCTCAGTGGTTCCGCTGACTGCCTCGTAAGTGCAAGGACCCAAGTTCGATCCCCAGTACCGAAAAACCAAACAAACAAAAAACCATGAGCATTATTTGGGCCTGGGATTTAGCTGAGTGGTTCCACCGCCTGCCTTGTAAGAACAAGGACACGAGTTTGATCAATGGTACCAAAAACAAACAAACAAACAAACAAATAAAATGAATAAATATTGACTGTCACCCTTAAAGGCCTAGAGACCAGAAACTCGGCGAGTCAAGGGCAGTGGTTGATGCTGAAGGGTCAACAGTGCCAAGGTCTTTTGGCCCTGATCACCCAACATCACTGCTGGGGCCATCTCTAAACCTGTTGATTTAATGAGGGTGCGGTGTGGCCAGGGAAAGTGAAAAAATTCCCCAGGTGACTGCACCTGTGCAAGCCAGGTGAGAGCTAGAGCTAGGTCCAGTGGGCGAGGCAGGAGCATGGCGGTCTTGGTTTGCAACCTTGGGTTACATCAGTTAGGGCACAGGCTGCAGGATGTGGGCAGTGACAGTTCTGCTTGACTGGCACTGACTCCTACTCGGTTCTGAGCCCCACATCTTCACAGAAACATCCGACACTGGAAAAGGTTCACAGAAGAGGAACAAGTGCAAGACTCAAGCCCTGGTCTTGAGGGGGTCAAACTGAGCCCGTTCTCTCTGGGGCAGCCGGTGTTGCCCGGAGAGCGGTGCTGGGCCTGCCGTTCACCACACCTGCCCTTGGCTCTCCTAATGCTGAGCTCAACTTTGACGCTCCGGCTCTCTGCCCTACTGCTGGGATTGTGGAGCGGGCACAGAGGTGATAGGGAAGGCTAAGATGAGCAGCAAGGTGAACTCACTCCACGCGGGCCACGGCCAGATTCAAAGAGCACGTGAATTTTCATGAGTAGGAGTGAGAGGCCTGGGTCAGGACGGTGGCGGGGGATTTGGGTAGCCGTGCCAGCCATGCCGGCCTCTCCCAACTGCTCTCCGCTTAGGCGGTACTTGGTGACCACTGCGGGAGGGGTGAGCTTCCTTGATTCAAGGAGATGGGCACCCAGCACCGGGAAAGGGGATGAGTACTCCAAGCAGCACACGCAAAGAGCCGGGGGCTGAAAGGGCTCGGCGTACCTGAGAGCCACGTGGGACCTCATATGAACTGGGGGGGGGGGCAGGGAGGTGGGAGAGGTGGCACAGAGCGGCCACATGGGGTTTTGCGAGGCAGCAGGATTGGAAACCCAGACTCCCGCTTGGTGATCCAGGCAAGTAAGTGCCTCAGATATTCTGGGCCTCAGCTTCCTTCCGGGAAATGGAGGTAAAGACAGCTCTCTCTCTTTGGCCTGGGACTTGTGCCGGGCTTGCGTAACTCCAGAGAGGCCCTGGCAGCCTGCCCCCGCTCATGGCCTTGCACATGCTGCAAGTGGGCTGGCTCCCGGGTCCAGTACAGGCTGTTCCCTGAGGCCCCTGTCTCCCACAGCTGACCACTTCCTGGAACCGGGCCTCGGCACACCCGAGGGGCAGGCAGGCCTTTGCCTGGCAAGTGGGTGGGGCCCTGTGCGGGCTCCCAGGGCCTGTAGGGCTACAGTTTCTCTGATCTGCCCAGCTCCTGGGCAGGTAGGGACCAGCTTCGGGGGGGAGGTGCAGTGTGAGCACAAGGGCGGTCCGGAGGGGGAGATGGCCTAGCCACCTTCTCCCCGCTTGGGGAACCCTACTCCTGCCAAGGCGCCAGGGCTGCTCCTGCCCTCCCAGCCCTCCCAGCACTGTCCTGCCCCACGGCTCACGCTGAAACCTCAGTCAGCCTTGACTCTCGCCTGCACCCAAAACCCAAGCAAATCTGAATCTCACCAGCTCCAGCTGCAAATACCTTCAGGCTGAGAAGACCGAGTGCACCTGATAGGGAGCCGGGAGCCGAGAGGCTGGAGCTGGGCCTGTGTGTGGTCGCGGGGCTGGGGGCGGGACCCAGAGGCTCAGTATCAAGGGCAAGGTTTCCGGTCACTGATGGGGACATTACTTGGGGTGGCCTTCGAAGCCATCTGACTTTTGCCAAGACTTGCAGGGAGTCATCTAGGGTACCATCACCCCAGGGTGGCTGGGGCTGGCTGGGGGGCAGGGAGGAGGGGAGTCAATGGCCAGGGTGCACAGCGGGGTTTGGGTACAGAAAAGCAGACGCCGAGAGGAAGCAGGGTGAAAGTACCACCTGGACCTGGGGTGTGAATGCATCAACTGGGGTGGGGGGGGGTCCCTCAAGCAGCTGCGCTCTTATGGACTGTTTCGGTCCTCTCCTCCCACGCGGCCGCTCAGTGCGGGGACAGTGACTACTCCAGTCCAGTGCCGGTAAGAGCAGGCAGCTCTTCTAAGCGAAGTCACAACCAAAACCCTGAGTGACGTGGGCAGGATGGTGCCCCCCAAATGCACATCCGCGTCCGACCCCAGAGCCTGTGAACGTGGCCTTGCAGAAAGGTGTGCACAGGTAATGAGATCCCTGGCAGGGATCCTGACACGAGGTTGTCCGGGGTGGTGGGAGGGCCCCAAATCCAGTGACCCAGGGGACCGAGAGCACGGCCAGGGGAGCACAGCCAAGTGGGCCCCCGTGGCGGGGTGCGCGTCAGCCTCCAGCCCCCAGCCCCGGGGAGGATATTGCTGTTGTTTCAAGTCCCCCAGGCCAGGTCAGCCACAGGACAGTCACACAGGGGAGTGGCAGGGGTCAGAGCTGGCACAAGGGGAATTTGTTTGGGATTTCTTTTTCTTTCAAGTTTCAGGTCTGGGCTTTGAATGTGGTTCCAGCCAGGCCAGGCCAGTAGCCCGGTTCTTCCTGTAGAAGCAGGGAGGTGTGCACAGTGGGGACAATGGGGGCAGCTGATACCTTATCTCTCCTGGCAGAACAGCCGGGCTGACAGGGCCACAGGGGCAGGGACAGCACACCTTAGGATAGCTCTGCTTGGCCTTGAGGCTGGTGTGAACCTGGGGTCCTGCTGCCCATCCTGGGGGTGTTTCAAGTGGGACCCGCAGGCATCAGGGTGGCAGTCTATAAATCCTGGGGTGCTCTCCTGGACACAGCATGGGGGGCATGTGTGCATGGGAAGTGTGGCCTCCCAGGAATGCTACCAGCAGGAAGGACTGGGAGATGTCTGCGGTCACTCCTGGGGGACACCCCCCAAACCAGCTGGGGAACTGGGGCCAGCAGCTGAGGGCTAGGAGCAGGGACAGGGCACACGGAGGCTCCAGATGCCACCTACATGCTGCCCTGGCTCCACCGCGGGTGTGGGTGTCCCGCCCTGGAAGCTCCCGGGACCGATGGGCAGTAGGCATGGTACAGTAGGGAGGGGCACTGGCTGCACACAGAGGGAGGGGAGCGAGGGGCCTGAGGACCCAGGGTGCCCAGTGAGGCTGCCATGTCCCCAGGCCTAGGGTACCCTGCAGAGGTTTATTCCGTGGTGGGAGGCACACATGGGGTCAGCTAAGCACATACACACACACACACACACACACACACACACTACAGTGGTCAGCAAAAGACTGATGTTTGGGAACCATGGCTCCTAAGTCAATCAGGATCTGAGCTGTGATCCAGGCTTCTGGCCTGAACCAGAGAGAGGCCCTGTCAGCCTGAGCTGAGGTCCAAGAAGGGCCTGGGGGTCCTATAAGACCCCTGTGAGACCCACATATGGAGAGTGATCTGCAAAGCAGAGCTGAGCACAGGCTCTGGCTGGTGTGTGAGCTGGAGCAGCTCTGGAGAGCAAGGGAAGCACTGGTGCAGACAGCCCTGGGTTCCTCTCCTACAGCAGCTCTGAGATCTGCTACTGGCCCTGAGAGGAGCAGGATGTACAGCCTACCACAGGTTCAAGGCCTGGATGGTTGCCACACCTGTTAAGAACTCAGTGCTGGGGCTGGGGACATAGCTTGGGGCGGTGGAGCACTTGCCTAGAATGTGCAAGGCCCTGGGCTCCATCCAGCACGACAAAAACCAAACACAAGCAATCAAAGCAACACACTCAGCATTAGGCTCCCAGGCTCTTGGAAGAGGATGGGGAGCCGAGCAGCACCATCTAGTGGTAAGAGGGGGTATAGCGCCTGGGAGGATCGCCGAGGGGGCCAGCCAGGACCCAGTCCCAATGGGAGACCACCAGAGGACCCAGTCCCAATGGGAGACCACCAGAGGAGCTACCCAACAGTCAGGACAGCCGGCCTGCTGTCTGTCAAGTGGGGTCCGAGAGAGTCAGCTGACCCCAGCACAAACAGAACAGTGAACAAAAGGCAGCCAGGGGCCATGTAAGTGTAGCCTGGACAGGCCAGGCCGGGGCCCACAGGTAAAGGGGCTCCCTGCAGTCACGCCACACCCAGGGCCAGCCACTCTGCACCAGCATGTGGGTGGCCGAGAAGCCCTGAGTGCACAGGAGTCCCTGAAGGGAAGGGGATTCCGGGCTGAGCCTGGAAGGGTCCTCCACACTGTGCCAGGAGAATAAAGGGCTCCTCAGGTGATGTGCCCAGAGCTTTGAGAGGCAGAGAGGCCCATTCCAGAGAACCATAAACACTCTAATTAAACTAAATAAGGGGACGGCGGATCTGAGAGCCTTCGTTCCAGTGACCGAGGGACCCACATCCACCGTGAGTCTTTACAGTGAGCAGCAGCACAGCTTTGTGAGCCAGGCATCGGAAAACGCTCTACGCACATCTCCCTCAAGCCTCAGCAGGACAGGTACCCGGGCTCCCAGTTAAAGATGAGCAACGGTGGAGAGCGGCGAGGCTGGGATCCGAACTGGGCACTGGCTGGAGCCAAGGCCTGTGAACCAGTCAGAGAAGGTGCACCCCAAGTTCACTGGCACCCCTTGGCTCCGAGTCCCTCCCTGCAGGGCACAAGGCTGAGCCTCTGAGGAAGCCCCTGTGGGTGGGATGGAAGGGCTGGGGTCTGTCTGCAGCAGAGCGTGGAGAGGGGACAGGATCAGAGAGAGGCTCCGGAGTGCGGGGGGCAGGCTGTGGCCTTAGCCTTGAACCTGGGGCACGTGCAAACCAACCCCTAATGACCATTTTTTTGTGCTCCTCCGGGAGCCACCATGCCATCAGGCACTGTGCTGAGGAAGATGCAGCGGTCAGTGGTTGTCCGGAGCCCTGGACAGCAGTGGCGGAACAGGTCCAAGGCCGAATGCCTGCACTAAGCTATTGGTGCCCCCGGCACTGCGCAGCACACGGGGACCCAAGGAGCAGTTTCATTGCCCCCAGAACTAAGTGCTGCTGGCTGCTTTTGAGCTCCACAGAGAGCTGGAGAGTCCCAACCCAAGGGAGAACACGCTGTGCAGTCCCAGGCAGTGTGGTCACCGGCTGGTGGGCGTGGAGCCAAAGCTACCTTCCGTCCTTCAGGGGCTCTTGGGTAGCCAGCGAGGGGCTCGGTCATCACAGCTACTCCCTGAGGCGGCAGGAGGGGCGCTGGCCCGTCCCTCGCTTGGTCTGTCCAGCCAGCCCTCGCCGAGCATCACTAAAGCACTGTAGGAAGTCGGCCACGAACCACTGGGGAGCAGAGCTTCACCACGTCCGCCTGCTCTCGCTTTTCCATTTTTGAATTCTCCTTAATCAGAGGTAGAACAGGGATCTGAGTTGTGGTCTCAGGATGCGTGCACCTGCCTGCCACCCAGAGGCCCAGATGTGGCAGCTCTCCTGAGCCCCCAGGATAGTGACAGGCCCCAGGAGGCCCGGGTGTGGGAGCTCGTGGGACGCAGCAGTTTGGGGGCTGGCAGATGAGGGGAGGGCAGAGAGCCATGGGCATCGGGCCTGGCTGGACTGGGTCCTGGGCCAAGCCTGCTGTCCCGTGGGCTCAGGAAGAGGCAGCATTGTAGTGACCACCACCGCACTGTCTGTTACAGGCCAGGGCACAGTACGGCGAACACGGCAGGACCTGGCACGGAGCTGCAGGACGAGGACGGGTGTGCCCAAGTGAGCAGGTGGCGTGTGTACACACGGGCAAGGACACACGCAGAGGCACTGACCCCCCTTCTCTGCTCCACACCCGGTGTCCCCGTCACGTTCCCACGGGCTGGCGGGGAGCCGATTCTGGCTTCCCTGGAGTCTAATCTTAAGGACAATCCACTGTTAAATAACCACATTCAATGCCTTCTAGAACAACAGCGTTCTTTACTGTGCAGTTCATTATGAACCTGAATCACTGCAGCTTTAAAGTCTGGAACTCGACTCAGGCCTCCAGCAGCAACCTCAAGGTCAGAGATGGGTTAGGCAGGAGCTTCGGCGCTTCCTTGGCAGAGCGCAGCACAGCCCTTCGCCCCTCTACACCATGTGGAGAGAAATGGTCACAGCAGCCAGGGCCGAGGCCTGCCTCGCAAGCTCCAGGGACGTGTTCCGTCTGGGCTGCCCGCCCTTGCCCTAGGCGACACAGAGGTCACAGAGCTTCCTGGCACTATGGGGGCACAGTCACCCTCAAGGGTGTGGGCACCAGCACCCGCCACCTCCTTTGGGTGGCACATCTTTGACAGTGCAGCAGCAGCTCCGTCACGGCCTTGAGGAGCGCCCTGCTGCAGCCCCTGCTGGTCCCAGAACCCCCGCTTTGGGATGTGGCCCTGAGCTGTAGGAGGGCTGTGCCTAGAGCTTGCTGTTCTTCTGGAACTGGGCCACCAGGCTGAGGACCTGCTCAGAAGCTTTGATGGTCTTGGAGCCCAGGTAGGCGGTGCTGTTGGGCCCCGTCTCCTCTGGGTAGTAGCGGTAGTTGGCCATGAGGCCGCAGGAGCTGCTGAGGCCCCTGGGACTGCTGTCACCCATCCAGTTTATCCGCCATATCATGGCCCCGTTCTGCAGGTGAAAGTTGGCCACGGGGTTGAGGGCGAAGCCACGGTGCTTCTCCCCGTACAGGTACCAGGCACAGAGCCGCATCAGGGGCGCTTGGAGGACCCGCACCAGCTTCTCCGACTGTGGCCACTCGCTGCTGCTGAGGAGGGGTCTGAGGGTCTCGCGGATGGGGCTGCCGACAATCTCCACGATTTCTTTACATTCTAAATCTGTGAACAGTTCGTTCCGCCCGTGCTCCCTTGTCTGCGAGTTCAGAAGCCCCAGAAGCCACTTGGTGAATCCAGGTATGGGTGACAGACTCGAAAAGGCCCCCAGCTGAGGAAACTCTTTCTGTACAGCAGGCAGTGGAGAGAGCAAGGTGGAGAAAATACAGATTCAGCAGACTCGAACCCACACGGGACACTGCTCAGCTCCCAGTCTAGTGTCACTGCTCTGTAGCTGACAGGGTGACATGTGACATCGACTACTGTACTTTCTTCTTTCACGGCACATGTATTAGGAACCTGGTGTGTGCCAGGGCTTGGAGGCACCCTGAGTCCCCGGGGCAGGCCGTTAAGTCGCTGTCTCCATCTGTAACATTGCTACAGTGGCAAAACAGAGGCTGGGGAGTTGCTTGCAACTGGTCAGAGTGCTGGCCCTGCACCGTGGTCACTGTGACCACAGGCCTCACCTTCCCACCATGCCACGTCCCCTGGGGAGGCCACTGTGGCCCGGGATTGGTCTGACACGCGGCACTCAAGGGCCCAGGGACAGGTGGGTGGATAAGATACGCAGCTACACCACTGAGGGGACAGTGGGGGGACGAGAGGGGCAGGCAAGGGTCTGTCACCAACCACACAGTTCATTCACTCCTGTTCAAATTGTACAGAGATCTTGACTATTTTTCAAAGTCCAGAATTTTACGATTATAAATGTACCACATGCTCCTTACAGATTGGTTTTAATTTATGCAAAAGGAAAGCACTGTGCTCCACTGTGAGCGTCCTGCTGCCGACAGTGTGGTGAGTGTGATGCCCTCTGGTCTCTACAAGGCTGGGGATCTACTGCACGGCCTGCATCGCAGGTTTGTATCAGGAGCATTTGCTAAGCATCATTTAAAATTCAAAAATACAAAACTACCGTGGTCCCCCTAACCGTGTCCTTCCTGCTGAGCATGTGAGTAGGCTGTCTTCAGCGTTTATAAACCCCAGCACACCCTCCCGCGCAGGACACCCTCCCTCGAGGCTCTCCAAGGACTTTGCCTCCCAGCTGGGTGCAGGGAAGTGGCCCTGCCAGGGTGGCTGCTTGGTCAGCGAGCAGTGTGGTGGGGTCACCAGAGCCCAGGGGCCTGCTCGCCCTCTTTATTGCCTTTCTTTACCTCACACCCCAACAGCGCTAGCACAGGAAAGGACTAAGAAGAAACGTGTACTGATTAGATGTGACCACCGGGGAGAAGCAGAAGGGCAGTGAAGAAAGTGCACACGGAGCTCTCGGGTTAGAACTGAACGAGCACGGGTCCGCTCTGCTGTGCTCGGCGGCGGCGGCGGCGGCCACGCTAAAGCAGTGCAGTGCTCAGCGATCGGGTCAGTGCTAGGGCAGATCCACGCACAGCAGCTCTCCCCAGTGACTGTCGGACGGCTTTCGATTTGGGCCCAGGGCAGCCACGTGTGCTGCTGTCGCAGGGCAGAGGAAGTGTCCTTTGGAGGCAGCAAGAGGGGGCGAGGCCAACAGCAAACCACAGTGCTTGCTCGGTCTAAGCAGGCTGTGGGAAAGCCCTGCTAATGGATCGACAGGAGCCAGGTACCCTGCGCAGTGCAGGCGGCCAGGCACAGCTGTGAGGACCTGGGCCCAGACAGTGGGGAGTGAGCGGGGCAGCAGGGACGAGAGAGCACTGAGGAGCGACTGGCCAGCCGCGGCAAGGTGGCCCTCAAGGACTCATGTGCTCAGCCCATAGCGGTGAGCAACAAGCTGGGTTCTGGGTGGCCTCTCTCAGCAGTCTTGAGGCTCCTAGGACCTGGCGAGCGGCAGCGGGCACGGTCCTCCTCCTCCTCCCTTCCTTCTGCTCGCTCCCGCTCCCGGAACCCAACACCCAGCAGGACACCTGAGGGCGGGACATACCCGAAAGGCCACACTCACCTGCAGCTCCTTGAGGACCCGCTTTATGAGGAAAGTTCCCAGCTCGACACCCTGCAGCCCCTGCTGTGTGAGGCTGATGGAGTAAAAGATGGCAGTGGTGATTCTGTTCCTCTCCTCCATCTCTGACGGGGGCTGCTCCTTCACGATGGCCTGGGACACACGAACCAGGGTCCCTGGTGGGCAGGACATCCTCACACTCACACCCCACCCCCGCCAATGGCCACAGGATGATTCTCAGAGAGATCAAGGGTTTAGGCTGCAACGCTCTTGGCTGTTCTCAAAGTTTTCACGCGGGACCCTTTTGTAACCTCTCTGGGTGCCTGCTCGGGGCTTTCATTTCTGTTGTTTTGAGACTCTTGTGCAAGCTCTGTTGAATGGCACTTTAGACCCTTTTTGCCCCTCCCAGGCCTCCGTGCAAATTGGCACTTGCTTCTGAAGCACCCCCAGCACAGAACCTGCATTAAGGACACTGCGGCCGCCTGAGGTCTGGGTTCTGTACACTCCTGTCAGAGGCCTGCTCTTCTACTCTAGTGACTCTTGTTCCTTAGTTTTTCAGATTCCTCAGTAGGCCAAAATTTACCCTTTGCGGGCTCTTCTATGTAAGTTTTTAGTTTTGTGCCAACACCCTTAGTTTTACTAAACGAAAACACATTCACACAGACGCACACACAAAACAATCTAGGAAGACTGCAAAGGCGTTTGCTCAGCTGAAGCCTGACTGACTTCTCACCTCTGCCGGCAGGTCCCTGGAGCCCTAGCCAGTACTCACAGCGACCAGCAGGCGGCTCCCTTTCAGCTGGCGGAGGCAGGCACACCTGTAAGCCGCTGGAATTTCCGCCAGCTACACTGGGCTCCTGACAGGGCTGCTTCGCCCAGGGCTCGTAGAAAGCGCTCTCTGCTTGGGGTCGCGGACGCAGGCTGGGTTTGAATCTCTGTCCCATCCTTATTGCTCTATGATGGTGGGCACGTTACAGACGTTCCCCTAGGCCTCAGTTTTCTTATGTCTAAAACAAGGTGCATAGAACAACTAGTACCTAGCTCGTACAGTGCTGAGCAATTCCCAAGGGAACATGTTTCATGGGCCGACAGACACAGAGTACGCTCACCAGATATCACAAATGTTGTAATGAAGATCACACACCGCGTGCTCTTCTGTAACCTGGAGTGTTACTCGACACTAAGTCAAACGTAACCCTGAACCATATTGAAACAGAGATCCCACGTGAGTGGTGGCAGGCGTGTTCTCAAAGCAGTCCCTAAACATCCTCCACTGAAGGACATCGGGGACCTGACTGTCGTGCTGTAGGCAGCGCTGAGCGTCGGGACTGCAGTGGAGTTTTCGGGTGGTCAGAGCCATGCACCCCAAACCGCACTCGAGGCCCTGGCAACCTCCAGTGCCAGGGCGCCATGTGAGAGTGGCTCCTTCACACTGAAAACCTGTGAGGGGTCCCCTGGTGACTGAGGGTTCTGCCTGCTTGACCCACCCAGTGACTGTGACACCCAGAGGCACAGACTCTGCCCGGCACCGCTCTCTCGAAGTCTCATCGCCTATCACCCACCCCCTCACAGGCTATTCCAACCCATGGGCCTCTGGGGCTGAGCAGACCCCCGGCCCAGCGACTCACTTGAACTGACTGCCGGGATCTCCATCCACACCTGCAGTCCTGGCGTCCCTCCTCCTCCAGGAGAAGCCTGGCTCGCCCCGGGAGGGACCAGTGGAGCGCATCAATTCTGCCCTCCACTCCCAAGCAGATCACTGCTCTACCTACCAGTTTCTTAATCGCACATCTCAAAGGTCCCCACAGGCACCTAACCAAGCCAGAAAACTGGACTGTGCGTCCTCCTCTCTCTCCTTCCCTCGCCACCTGTCTGCTGAAATGGCAACGGCCCCCAGACTCCTCGGGCCCCAGGTCAGCACTGGCAGGCGGCCGCTCCTGTGTGCACCTGCTCACGTTGATGTTCTGTAACTATGCATCTGGAGGGCTCATCAGCCCACGTCCAAAGTCTATGAAAATTCAAAGCAACTGTTTTTATGAAAGAAACTAAGGTGGGCATGGTGGCGCATGCCTGTAATCCCAGTACTTGGGAGGCTGAGCCGGGAGGATCACTGCGAGTTCAAGGCCCGCCTGGGATACAAAGCAGGACCCTGTCTCAAAAATAAAAAAAACAAAACAAACAAATGGACAAAAGATACAACCAAGCTAAAACAAAACCAAACCTCAGGGGACTTTGGGAGATGCTATCTTGTCCCAAGGGTCTGACCGCAGGTACCTGGATGTTGCTGGAGATGTCGCTGGTGAGCGCCACATACAAAACGATCAGGGGCTCCCCGGGGGTGGAACAGTGAGAAAAGAAGTAGCACCGCCTGTAGGGCCCCACACGCTGTTTCATATCCATCCAGTTCTTCACAGGATGCACGGCTTCAGACCTGACGAGCGATCAGAGAAAATAACTTGTGAAGTAACAACTGCTGACATCTGTGTGTGCTCCCCACAAAGGCCAGCACATCCTTCCAGTACCGCTCAGCGTAAAACTCCAAGAATATCACTTCAGTGCGGAACAGCGCTGAGAGACTGCTCTCATTCTTAGCCCCAGGCTGCACAGTAGTCTGTGGGGCTGATCACCCGCCTCGCTGTGGCTCCTGTGTCTCCTTGGGATTCCTGCGTGTAAGGCGGTCGGCCCGCTGCACACGGCCCCTCTCGGGTCCCTCTGTCCCTCTTCCTCATCCCCACAACTTTGTCTCAGCAGGCACTGTCATCACCGGAGCTTCAGAGGGCAAGACATTTACAGGCCTCAACCAACACAGGACAGTGCAGTGTGGGCAGCGCGCTTCAAGGCACGGGTCGCCGTGTCCTGGACACACAGCAATCAGACACGTGACACAGCTCGTTGAGACTTTCACCAGGGAGATGCAAGAATTCGGTGAGGTAAATGCTTTCCTTCTCTTTTTAGCTTTTTGAGACAGGGTATCACTACGCAGTTCAGGCTTGCTTGAACTATGTGGCCCAGGCTAGCGTGGAACTTACAGTGATTCTACTGTCTCGGCCTCCCGAGGGCTGGGATTACAGGCGTGCGCCAAAATACCCAGTGATAAATGCTCTCTTGATTACTGACGCAAATACCTGTTGCAATGAGTTCACACAACTCTGACAGTCTGGCCCGGGGAAGCCATAAATGGGCCTGTTTGCTTTAAACAGGACACAAGCAAGGCACAGGGTTACTGGCAAAGTTTTCTCTCCTGGCCCTGCCTCCACCTCAGTGTCACTTGAGATGGCAGCCACTGCACTGGGTTTGGGACTTGCTAGGTCAGAATAAAATGCACATGTGGATGGGCATAAAGACGAGAAAGCGCTCGTACTTACTCGCTGATTTTCTGAAGCACCTCACACGGTGAATGCCAAGTGACCCTTTCCAGGTTCAGGAACCCAGACGAAAACCACTCTGACAGCATGCTTTTCAGTACCCCGTTCATCTCCTGCTAATGAGAAGGTACAGGGTTGGCTCTTGAGCTACTTCGCCCCAGACCACCTCTGCATCACCACGACACAGCAGGTTAAAATGCGCAGCTGTGGTAGAAGAGAAACTTGCAGGACGGTCCTCCAGGCAGCCTGCCCCGAGCCTCTAGGGGACTCGCATCTCAGGCTAGGCCTTAACCGGCTCTACTTATAGACTATACCCTGTCAGTCTATAAGAACTTGAGTGGGACGGTGCTGCCCAAATCATACAACCTGTTCCAATGAATTCACTGCAGTGGACCCAAGTAAACACATTAACAGGACAGCCGGGCGTGGTGGTGTACAACTGTGATCCAGCACTCAGGAAGGCTGAGGCAGGAGGACTGCTGTGAATCTGAGGCCAGCCTACCTAGTGAGACTCGGTCTCCACAGCACACAAACAAGCGGACAGGACGATGAAACACGCACCTCACAGGAAGCACCAATGCAGACTGCACAGGCCCAGCAAGCCCCCAACGCAGGAGTGTCTGATGTGGCACAACATGTCGCCTGTGCTTCCCGAGAGAAACAAGGACTGTCTAGGAGCTCTGTTTTACCAACTTGAAGCAGCTGCATCTTTGTATTTTAACATCTCTGGAGTCAGCACGTGCCTCATAAAGGATGATGGGTCACAGCTTAATTGGTAGCATCACCTTTAGGGGAACCTAAAATTACAGGGCATTTTGCAAACAATGCACTTCAGATTCGACAAAATTACTTTATTTTGCTTTACTTCCCAAAATGCTGAGCAGACATCAAAGACCCATGTGTGCTGAAACCTTTCGGGCAAGAGCTGAACAAGAGGCACACAGGCTGGGGCAGAATCTGCGCTCAGGGCAGCCTTGTGTGGCTGAGCACAGAACAGCAAAGGGCTGCCGCCAGCCACAGTAGCTAGGATGCCAAGGATAGCAGATAACACTGGTGTTGTCCAGCGGCTGCTTTCCCTTCCTTCTAAACAAAGAGAAGCCTCGATTTTCAGCCAGGCACACGGGAATCTAGAATAAAGACGGCGGCTGTGACCAAGTTCTGGCCAATGAGGTGCAAGCAGGTGTCCCGCAGTAGCTCTGAGGACGTCTGAGACTGCAGAAGCACGGCCTTTCTCTGTCGTTTCCACTGCAGGCTGGGATGTGCTGTGGTGGCTGGCGTGGGACAACCAACCATAGGCGGCATAAGGTGACTTTCAGGATGGCTTTTTCAGGGCAGAATAATACCAAAGCCTGAGTCACTGAGCATACCATAGAGCAGAAACAGCCTGGGCTGCCTATCCTTAGACTGGAACTTGAGACAAACCTCTATGTTTCAAACCACGTGTACTTTGGGTTTCCCATTATAGGCAAACTAGGCAAACTATATGGTACCATATACACTGAATAATACTATTAAATGGCAGTGAACATCTCAGTGCACCTGGTTCTGAACTGACCTTCTGCACCTTTGTGTAAGGCCCACCAAGGAGAAGATGGGCATCACCTATAAAGTCCAGCTTTTAACAGCTGCAAGAACTCGGTAGTGCCAACTCACGTTGTAATTCCTGCTACAAGATGAAAAGAATCTCACACCTCTGTCATCTGAGCAAAAGGTGCAGGTGTAGGTGGGTGGCTTGGAGAAGTTTTCAGAAGCATACAAAATCTACCTTTATACCCTTAAGCACTAGGGCACAGAGAAGGCCAGGCAGAGGACAGATCTAGGACCAACTGTGGAAGTCACAGACACTCAAACGAGGCCTGGATTTAACGTCAGGAAGGAGCTCCGAGGGGAACACTGTCCGCAGATGTCACTGTGGGAGACAGCACAGCTCACTACAGATGTGATGGGCACAGGACAGACGCACTCTGTGGGGCCATCTGAGAAAGGACCTAGCACTGGATAGGCTGCTGGGCAGGAAAATCTTTGCAGTTCCTTCCACTCCAGATTCCACGTATATCTCCTTTGCTCAGCTGTAATTTCTGTAAGGGTAAAGTCCATTTCTGATTCATTTCTATAGTTTCCACAGCATTCATTAATGGACTGATATCAAATGAAAAAAAAAAAATGATGACTGCAAGTAGCAGTAGCAGGCCCTGAGGATGAGAGTAAATTTGATCATCTGTCAGGCAACACAGAATGGCTCTTGAAAGGCTGTGTTATTGCACTTGACCACAATGGTTCTTAATCCTGAGACCCCCCCCACTCTCAAGTAGGCGCTAAAATCACAGATCCCCCTCCGCAGTGCCAGCACAGTTATACAACATTGCATACAGTACCCTGGGGCTCAAAGAGGCCAAGTGAAGACTTCTGCCCAGAATGGTAAGGAGCAGGCTAGCTCAGCTGCAGGGCAGAAGCCCCAACGGAGCCCCATGACACCGAGAACAACAAAAAGCTGGAAGCACCTGCTTCAGCATGAACTCAGTTGTGGCTGGGGTCCAGATGTCCCCCAAGGCCTCAAGCAGTCTCTTTCAAAGGTAGCTGAATCTGCAGTGTGTGATGCTGGGATAAAGGGTGCCACTACCAAACCACTACACTTGAGGGTCTGGTTTGGCACCACCCTCATCCCCAGATCTGAGGTAAAAGGAGCTGAAAGATGCTATTAAGGCTCCTTTTGCTACCTTGTGGGTGCCGTGAACTGTTTCCTCTCTGCGATGCCCCTCCTGCTTCTCACTGCCATGAGCTGTTGCCTCTCTGCCACCCAGCCTCAGAGCCAGCCGATTATGGACTGAAACCTCTACGAACTGCGATCAAATAAAACTTCTTCCCCTTTAACTTTGGATGCCAGGTATTTTGTCTCAGAAACGAGAGAAGAATAACGAACACAAACAATATGAATTATAAAACACATGGGCTGAAGAAGCCTCTCCCCTTGGTCTCCTCCTTCTATTCTGGGCTGCTGACAGCTAAGGCATGTGACGCTGGACCGGACAGCCAGGAATCCAGGGTAAGGGTCAGGAGTGCACCAGCCAGGTGTAGCATTTGCTGACAGCTGCTCAGGGTGCCACTTACCACAGCATGCGAGATTATGCATCACAAGCAGCAGGCCAGAAAGGAGCCTCTGTTTTTCACCCAACTGATGCAGCAACTGCTGATCGACAACGCAAGGCTGCGAACATAAGGGCCATGCTGCAGTTGGCATAGTTGCCAGTTTGTTCTGCGTTGCTAATTCCACTTTTCCTGGATGACACTGTTTAAATGAACCAGTGGCCAACACACTTGGCTCTCAGGATGTGCTGAGCTCAGATGTGAGGAGAGCAGGTACTCAGGAGGCCTGAGCCGGGAGGGAAACTCGCACCTCCCAGGTGTGCACCGGACACAGTGGGGTACGCCTGTCTGAAAGTAAATGCCAAGCACAGCCTTTATGAGAATGCTCAGGCACATGGCACTGACTCAGGGGTCTGGCAAAGCTTCCTCCCTTCTCTGGCTCCCATACTTCCCTTAAGGCTCTTGCACCCCCACATCTCCATGATTCCAGTGTTTCAGGTGCCCATTAAGAGACCTCTGTGATCTCAATGCCAACTTCCACCAGGCACCGGTGTGAGCAGCACCCACACCTTCAACTACCTTGGGGATTCCACTGTATCTCTGGGATTTCATCTCAAAGAGACTTAAGCCATCAACCTAATGGACCCCATGAAATGTGTATGGAGAAAAACGAAAATCCAACAAGCCTCGCCCTACAGCACACGTCAGCCACACAGCCCCAGACGCACCCCTGAAGAAAGGCAGGCTGGGCACAGCTGGACACACCCCAGAGCCCTGGCCAGAGGTGGCAGTGAACAGCATTCCTCTTCTGGCTAAGACTTTGTTCGCTCAAGGGCAGCCACGCCTGGCTGTCATCAGCAGTCACCTCTTACAGTACTCTCCGTGCACCTGAGTGCATTCCGGAGATGAGGAAACAAAGTGCAACTGACCATGGATCTGAATTTTCGCCTGTCGGAGTCCAAAGTGAAGAACTAAAGCCACTCGCTTCTGCGGAAATAACGAGCACGCTAACAAGCCTCTAAGCGCACCAGAACTTTAACCAAGGAAAAGAACATTTTCTAACCTGCTTTATGGGTTCCTGGTCCCTCCTCATGCCGAGTAACTCATTCACTATTCCCTTTTCTACAGGTTAACTTTTTGGGTTTTGTGATCACAGTGGTCCAGGATGCTAAGTGCCCTTTCTACAAATTCCTTAATTATCAAATTGACTAAAATTCTTCGCTGAAACACACCATGAAGCCCAGTTCACTGTAATCCAAGTCCTACAAATCTACACCGTAGCAGGAGAGACTCGGTACTCGTGAATCAAGAAGCCCAATGCCTCTAATATTCTGAAAATGAACTTCAGGCAAGGTTCACTTCTTCTTTTTTCACGTATTGACTTTCTATCTTGAAAAACACAATCCAGACATTTGTTCTCTGCCACGGTATAAAAACTTTCAAAGTACCACTTGGATCTTCTAGCAAAGAGACTTGCTGTTGACTTCAAACTTTGCATCCAAAGGATGAAGCTTCCCTAAGGGAGAGAAAAGAACCTCATCTGATTTAAAATATCCAAGGAAAGCGTTCATCCCCAGCCTGGCCACCTGCCTGCAGTCCTCTTCCTGGGCAATGGAAATGTCTGTCTTATGAATTCTCACGTTTCCCACAGTCACGACCCTGACCAGAGAGAAGCTCTCTTAACAAACGGCGCCTCCTTTGTTTACTGAATTTTTAGCAAAGCTCCAATAAATCGCTCAGGGCATTTCTTAGGAAAGAAAACCAGGCTGAGGTGGAGCTCAGTGACCATCAGCTGCATCTGCAGAGCCAGTGGATGCAGGGAGGCAAGGGACGTGGCTAAAGTCACATCTTTTAGTGGATGTTGCCAAGGGAACTGGGACTGGCTCATTTCTCACCGAGCTTCCTCCACTGGACCACTGCCCCGGAAAACGCAACCAGCGTCACCCTGAGGCCCTACTCTTCCCGCTTACTCCTCCACACTGGGCTCAGTAAGAGGAGATGGATCACACAGTGACGTTTGTGGGCAGAGGAAAGGCTCAGGACCAAGTGCACAGGAGCTCTGGTGACCATGGCCTCATCTAGCAAGTTTAAATGTCAGCTGGGGCCAGGCAAATAGTGTGCCTGAGACAAGGCACCAGCACCACACACCAGGAGAGCCGAGGCCTGCTGCAGTCCAGATGCAACCCTCTCCGAGTACTGGGCACTTAAGAAAGCCCTTGCAGGGCTGGGGTCCTGCTCTAAAGCGTCCTGTGCCAAACTTCTGTAAATTTTTAACACTGAATTCCCGAAAGCAAAAAGTTCTAGCTAATGGCTTAACATTATACAAAATCCTAAAGAATGAGAATAGCTGTAAACAAAACACCAAGTGTGAACTCTTAAGGCCTGCTGCGCACTCTGGGCGACAGCGATGTGAGTTGCAGCTAAGGTGTGTGTGGGGGGCACAATAATGGGGAGGCTGAGACTGTGGGGCTATTTGGGGACTCTGCATTTTTTTTTTTTTTTTTGATAGCAGGGATTAAGTTTGGACCCTTGTGCTTGCGAGGCAGATGGTGGAACCACTGAGCCAAAGCCCTGGCTCTGGGAATCTGCATTTTCTGTTTAGTGGTTCTGTGAACCTAAAACTACTCTAAAAACGAAAATTTAACTGAAAGAATTTGTGAGACAGAGACAGGGTCTCATTATGTAGTTCATTCTGGTCTCAAACTCAAGGCAATCCTGCTGCCTCAGCCTCCTGAGAGCTGGGACTACAGGCATCTGCCACACTGGGCTAAATCTATTTAAAAAACACCCTGCACTTAAGTGATTCCGATGATAGGTTACGAGAACAAATCCCAACAGACAATTTCTAGAGATAGGAACAACTATTTTTGGAAAGATTTAAATGACAGAGATTTAAAAAAATATATATGTAACTATGTAAAGTGAAGGAAAAAGGAATTAACCAATTTTACCAACAGTTAAATGAGCTAGACATAAAGCTGGGGTTTCTAGGTGGAGAAATGGAGGAGACACAACACAGCCACTACAAATTTCAGGGGTCAACGAGTCCAAACCATGTCACAGGCTAAAAGTCAGGCTACCGTACCCATTCTCTGCTCAATACATTTCTCTACTCTGCGTGACTTCCGGCCTGACAGTCTGCAATGTGCAGAACAGCCTAGGAGAACAAGTAAACTTCGCCAATGTCTAAGGACTTAGCTGGCTTCCCCGGATTTCCCAGAAGCAAGCCCCTCTCAAGTCAAGTCTCAGAGCTGGAGCATTCACTCACTGCCACATTTGCTGTGCACTGTGTGATAACGGTGAGTTTCCTCCTGTGCAGAAGAACAAGGGGTGTGTTCTGTACATAACTGGAGAACTCACACATGGACGGGACCTCTGGAATCACCCGAGCCAAGCTGTCCAAATCACTGCTATTGACTCTTGGCTGTGAAGCCTTCTTGGCTTCTCTCTGGGTTCAGAAGCCTGTGAGGGCACTAGGAGCAGTCGGACATCCAGGTAACTGTGACTCACTGGTGTTCCAAGTCTGTCGCAAAGATTCATTTGTCATTTTGCTATGCAAGAAATTTAAGGCAAAGCTCCAGTTTTCATGACACCAATCATCTAGTTTGGGGATGGTGGGATAATGCCTTTCAAACACTATGTCCTCATGGTGCGGAACACAAGTTCAACCATGTAGGCTGCACTTGAACCTGGAAGAGTCAACACAGTAAGAATCTGTGACGGATGGGTCAGGGATTTAGCTCAGTGGTGCCGCTGCCTGCCTCACAAGCGCAAGGACTGTTGTTTGAACCCTGGTAAACGCCCCGCCCCCTACAAATCTGAGTCTTTGACAGCCAGTGAACTGGGCCTTCTCAGTTTGGGAATCTTATAGCCAAAGGTCGGTAGTCCTAGGTCATCTCAGCATCAAAAACGAACCAGCTATCATGCGAAATGACATCGTAGCCACTGTAATCACTCTGATTCTTCACTACACCCAATTCTTAGGTATGTGAGGCTAAGCAGCCAAAAAAGGTAAGTTTCTGTGAGGCTCACAAAGTACAATAGATCTGAGTGGGTAATGAGACACATCTTAGGTTCTTGTACAAGTCACACCTCAGTATGTATCTCCTTTCCTTTATGAAAGAATACGTGTATCACCTCCCTGAGACTGAGGGAGCAAAAGTAAAAAGTGTTAATGGCCAGTTCTAGGGCTCTTACAAGATTTCAGAGGTAATCATTTAGCTTTAAATTTTTCGAAAGCACATAATAAAGTTCTAAGTGTCAGAGGCGTTCTGCAACAAGTCACAGTGATTTGTACTCACTAAAAGGGCAGTTAGTGTTCCCTCCACGTTTCAGACGATTAGATTTAGATTATAAAAGGCCTACGTGTGACTCTAGGCCATCTTTCAGGTCAGCTACTTAAATCTCAAGGAATTTATTTGCGCATGAATTCACTGCGCTGATTACCTGGCTCCCTCAAGAAGTCAACTCAAAACCCCTGCTTTTAGGGCAGAGCTCAGGGAATTAAAATAACCTGTCCAAAGTTTCGAAGCTGAAAGGAGGCCAGAAGGCACTGAGACACACAGGCGGTGGTGGCCTTAAATTTTGGTCACCTGTGCGCATTTCACGGGACTTCTCAGGACATCATTTTACACATAGTGGGTGCCCACTTAACAGGCTGACGCCAGCCAGGATTTTAAAGATTGCCTTTGTTCATACTTCAGTTAAAACAACAAAAAAGAGACTTTACAGAGCACGGTTAAGAGGCGTGAAAGTCACCCTAAGGGCAGACCGGTGCTGGGCACGCAGTAAACACTGCACACGTAGGGCTTGCAAGGTGAGGCTGGAGGGCGGCAGGGGCGCGCTGGACCCAGGCAAGGACTCAGGGAGCGGAGAAGGGGCAGAGCTCCAAGGCTGTCACGCGGGGAGGCGACGTGGCCGGGCAAGTCCCGCGTGGGGAGGACCGTCCTTACCCGGACGTGCGGCCCCTCTACCAGCTTGAGCGCCTGCGCCTCGAGCAGATCGGCTCGCAGCCGCACCAGGAAGCGCACGCCGCCGTCCAGCTTGCTG